CTCCTGCCCCCCAACCCTCCCCGGCCTTCCCGCTGTAGTTTGACAGTCTGTTCGAGGCTGCTCTGCCTCTGTATCTATTTTTGTTCATAAGTTTATAATGGTCTTTATTATCCATAAATGAGTGAGATCATGTGGTATTTTTCTTTCATTGACTGGCTTATTTCACTTAGCATAATCTTTAATCCAGCAATCTTTCTAGTGAACATTAATAGCACTTTATCTATGCCTCTCTCATGTTACTTACTGTTGTGACTTTGCATTAAAGATACAGCCCTTAGGGCTCTGATACAACTCCCAAATTGACACTTGCTGTGGGACTTGGGGCAACAATCTATCTAATAAAGAGGGATATGCTAATTGACCCTCACACCGTCACAAAGATGGTGGCGCCCACAGCCAATAAGGAGGGAATATGCTAATTGACTGCCCCACCCTCAAAGATGGCGGCACCCACAGCCACAAGATGGTGGCGCCCTGCCACGCGCCTGCTTCCAGAGTCCCCCAGTCCCCTCAGCCCCCCAGCCGCCCGGGGCTCAGGTAACCAGGGCCGGCCGAGGCTTGCGATGCCAGCAGTGGCAGCAGCAGATGTGTGATGGGGGCGTCGCCATCCCCTGGTTGCCAGGTCACCTCCTGCCCCTGAGGGCTCTTAGACTGTGAGATGGAGCAGGCTGGGCTGAGGGACCCCCCCCTCCAGTGCATGAATTTTCATGCACCGGGCCTCTAGTTCATAATAAAGATTCCTGGGCCCCATCCCATGGAAACTCTGGTTTAGGTCTCAGGAAGGTCTTGGGAATCTGACATTTTAAAGAGCTGCTAGACTTTTCAAATTTGAGGTCAGATGTTTGAATCATTGGTCTGACTGCCCCACAGTTTCAGGTACTCAGTCTATCCTCTTGAATTTTTTAACTTTTGGGATGCATTTATCTTGTCTAAATTACATTGCAAACTCCTTAATGTTTTGTTTCTCCTCTATGGTACTTAGCATAGTAGACATACAGTAACTGTTGAATGTTGAATAAATGAAAAGGTTGAAGTAAAAGCCTTCAATTGGTATACCTGTAGAGAGTGTACACTGAAGGGAACATGTTTCTTAGGACATACACTAAATGGAATTTGGCCGACAGCCTGTTAATGGGCTATTCTGAAGGAAAAGGGAGGGATGCCGCTCGAGAAGAGAAACCAAGCAATGATTTACAGAAGATGAGTAAGATAACATTTTGTTTGTAGGGTCACATGGGTGCTATTTATTTATGTTACAATTGAAGAGAAAAAGAGAAAATAATTAACATGGTCCGTTTCCAAGCCTAGTGTGCCTTATTTCTAACAGTAAAAAGTGAGATAGAAAGGTGCCCTTTCTAACCTGGTGGGTAGTGGACATTGCTGACTGACCGCTCTTTCTCATGGAATTTGGATGTGCCCTTAGCATCCTTTTCAATGTAGTGCTCCCAATCAGTGACATTAGCATAAAGACAGAAGAAAACCTGGTGTATGAAATGTGTAGGACATCTCCTGTGGTTAAAAAAAATTTCTGTAGAATGATTGTGATCCCTACAATAAATTTTTTTGTGTGTTTAGCAAGAAAAGCCAGTGTGTCTAAAGGGGCAGCTCTTTGATAATGTGCTGTTAGAATTCACGGCTCTATTTCTGGTATGACCTATCTTACGAAATTATGCTGTTTCCTCATAGCTGTCATGTCACTTACTGAGACTTTTTATTAAGTAAAGGTAAGTAATATATTCTTCCTAAGAGTTTAGAAGACACAGAGCACTGTCTAATTCTGATATGCTGAGAAGGTTAAGCTTAAAGCATTGGGTTGCCTCTGTTGCCTGCCTTATTGTTGAAATATTGTGCTTATTTTCAGCTCTGCTGGAATTCTCTTCCACTAATTTTGTGAAGTATGTGTTCACGTGGCACAAATTTTAACCCTGTGCATCCAGCTACCCTTCCTCCCCGCGTTTCCCTTTTCTAGAAGGAGCCTCACAGGTAATCAGGTTTTCACTTCTCTCTTTGCACCTTCCAGGTCAGATGACGATGACACGGAGAGTAGGAGCTCCAGGGTGACCCAACTTTGCACTTACTTTCAGCAGAAATATAAGCACCTCTGCCGCCTGGAGCGGGCAGAATCCCGTCAAAAGAAATGCCGGCACACGTTTAGGAAAGCCTTGCTGCAGGCGGCCAGTCGAGAACCAGAGTGTGCTGGCCAGTTAATCCAAGAACTGCAGAGAGCTGCGTGCCACCGAACCAGGTCAGAGCCGTGCGCAGCGCCCACTTCTAAGGAACCTGTCCTCTCTTTTTTGTACTTTCTGAGAAGATAGCTGAGACACGATGGGCTGTGGGCACTTCAGTCTGAAATATTTATGCATTGTATTTTGGTTTTGTTGCTCAAATAAAGTTCTACATGGATGGCAAAATAATACTGCATGAGCCGACATTAAAATTAAAGCATTACTGCCCAGCTGGGGGTTGTAGGTTCAATCGAACCCTGTCAGGGCACAGACCAGAAGGTAGCTGATCGATGTCTCTCCCACTTTGATGCCTGTCTGTCTCTTTCTGTCTCTCTCTTCCTCTCTCTCCCCCTTCCATTCTCTAAGCATGCTCTCCTCTGAGAATTAAAAAAAAATTAAAGCATTACTGTATTTTTCTAGAGTTTGATTAGAATTTATTCAATAAAGGATAAGAGAATGTTACCTATCTTTAAAAAAAATACAATGCCTAGAAATTTTGTATGTTATTTAAAAGTAACATTCATAGTTTTTACTATGAAAGTGGCATTTTACATTTTTTATTTTTAAAAATTTTTTATTTGAAATGTGTTTCTGTTAATATCTACATTGTATGTTTAAATATTTTATTAACACTGGATGTCTTGGGGGTGGGGGGAGTCACTGTTTATAGTGCACATACTTGTCTTACTGTGAAAAATATGTAAAAAGGGCAGTGCCTGGCCAGTGTGACTCAGTTGGTTGAGTGTCGACCCATGAACCAAGGGGTCACCAGTTAGATTCCAGGTCAGGGCACATATCTGGTTTGTGGGCTCAATCCCCAGTAGTGGCCATACAGGAGACAACCAATCAATGATTCTCTCTCATCATTGATGTTTCTATCTCTCTCCCTCTCCCTTCCTCTCTGAAATCAGTAAAAATATATTTAAAAATAAAATAAATATTTTTAAGCGGGGAATCTCCATAAATAATAATATCATCATTCACAAAACAGAACGAGCACTATGAACATTTTTATTCTATTTCCTTCTAGTCTCTCTCTCTCTCTCTCTCTCTCTCTCTCTCTCTCTCTCTGTGTGTGTGTGTGTGTGTGTGTGTGTGAATCTCCAGTGAGCCATGTATTTGTATTAAAAAGCAAAATTGAGATCATGCTATATGTATTTTATTCTTTGCTTTTTTTCCACTTAACACTGAATTATGACCTCCTATTTACTTTAAAACATGACTTTTAATGGTTTCATAATATGAATGTCAGTCTTTACATTTTTTCATTTTTATGTATGTAATTAAGCAAAATTAGATCTATATTGTCTTAAGAGTTATGTGTCCATTTTTCCCCTTAAAAATATAGCCATTCCCCAATGTCCTTAGATTGTTTTGAAAATATGATTTATAATGTTTATATAATATTTTATTGATGAAAACATCTTATTTAACTAGCGAAATAATTTTCACATTTAGAAGGCTTCGTTCTGTATTGAGTATTATTTCACACTTTAGTTATTACATTTTCAGATAACCTTGAATATATATAGTATGTAACATTTTAGGAATTTATATCTAAAGATTAGTAGTGGTTGTCTCCAGATAGTAGGCTTGACTGTTTATTAGGTATCATACTGTATTTGATGGTGTTTTAGATGTGTTATCTTTTCTTATCTCTACTTTACAGGTGAGGCAGTTGAGACTTAAGTAAGGCTAAGTAACTTGCCATGGTCACACAGCTAGTAAGAGGGAGAGCTGATTTTCAGAACCAGGTCTGATTCATCTAGTCTCATGTTCTTCATCACTTTTCTCTACAATCTTCTTTGTGAAGTAAAAGGAATCAAAATATCACTTTAATAAGAAGAAAACAGGCATAGTTAAAACTGATTTTTTTCTTTTGTTAGTAGATTAGGGAAACTGTGGAACTGGTCATTGTAACCCATATTTACATTTATTTAGTGAATGTAAAGAGGTAAAATGTTGGTATTACTTTATAGTAACATAGTGTTGAAATATTGTCCTGCATTCTTAAAGCATTTTTTAAAAATTAATTTTTTTTCCTTCCTTAGCATAAGCCGGACCAAGTTGAGGGAGGTGGAACCAGCAGCATGCAGTGGCATGGTGAAGGGTGAACAGTGCACTAACAAAGCCCTTCCATTCACCAGACATTGTTTCCAACGTATCCTACAAACTAAATTGAGTGTGCATTCAAGTCTTGACTCATTCAGGGCTGAGTGTTTCATTCTTTTTTTTTTTTTTAATATATTATTGATTTCAGAGAGGAAGGGAGAGGGAGAGGGAGAGAGAAAC